GAAAGTCTGCAGACATACCGCTGTGCTACTGGGGGGCACAAATGATGCAGTGAAAAATTATACTTTATTTGTTGTATAAATACTGTTTGTGTTTTAAACCTGAATTCACACTTTGTTGTATGAAATAAAGTGTGTTGTTATGTGTGCCTTAGTTGCAACTGTAATTGTTGACAGATGACTCACAGACTTTTTAAAAAATAAAAGATTAATAATTTAATAAACTTGCATAATAATTGAGTTGTAAAAATGTGTTATTTGTAAAAAGACTTATTAAAGCTAACTTGCCAAAGTCACTTCTACCATGTATTAAAGTGGATTTTTATTACAAAATATTCACAACTATGTGGCCTATTGGTTAGTTTGCCTGGACTTGAATTCCACGGATTCATGGCTCATGGTCTGTTGCTGCAAAAATGCACTCTGCTTTTTGGGCTATTTATACACAATAAAAGGGACAGTCAAATCCCTATTCAATTAGATAAGAGTAACCAAATAGTTTGTGATGTGCACTGTTGACAAGCTGTTTCCTCTCTAATCTATTTTCAAATATTAGGGACAACGATGTGCAGATAGATCTTGTGTAGCTTTGTGTGAAATTTTGAAATAAACTTACTATATTTATAATATCAACTATTCATAATATCGTTTGGATATGTAATTTATGTAAATTATGATAACTGATCCATTTTAAAGTATAACCTTTGACCTGAACTTAAATAGTAAAGAATATTTATCACATTGCAAAAACAGTAGCTGAACTAACTAATGCTGAAGACTAGGATGATAATTTACAACCAGTATACAGATTCTCTTTGTTCACTAATGTTTTCTGAACATCTCTCAATTAATTTGATCCATTTTCTCTTATGTAGCTTAACAGTTTTTTGATCAGACTAGTGTTATTCTTCTTTTAATAAAAGTCATAGGTTAACATCTTAACAAGATGCTTATTAACCAAACTTTTAACACAGATTTATAAAGCTAAATTTATATATATATATATAAATGTTACAAAAGAAAACAATATATTTTAAAATCATTAACAAAAATTATATGGAATGGATGTTTCACAAAAGCATTATACAAGTCAGTCAGGAAAATATCATAGAAATGGTATTGTCAGGTTTTGTTTATATAGGTTAACAACTTGAAGTTAAACCCTATCAGGCTCTAATGTGGTTAATTTTACAGAAAAATTATCACAAGTTATGGTTGAATATACTTTTATAAACTTAATAAGAATAAACAAATCACAATATCTCTTTTAATTATCTATAATTTTAATTATATCTAACTTTAATATGTATTGTTATTTGATAGATTATGTTAAAAGTTGTGCCACTCTTGAAGTTTGTCGACAGATGGTTCTCACTTTGGATGTATCCTTTTATGATATTGCAGCTGTATTTTGTGTGTGTAATATATCAAAAATATTACAAAGAGCAATATTACATATACATTCTGGGAATTGTATATTTATTGATATGAGAATCAATTACATAAGTGGAAATTAGTAAATAAGAGAAGAAAAAACAGAATTGACAGTTTTGCAACAAACAATATATTGAATACATATGAAATAACCTATGTGATTATTAAATCTTTACAGTGTTATTATCTTTGATTTATAAGTTGAAACATTTCTCATTTTTGATCTTATGAATATTCTCAGAAAATGAAGCTGGTATTTTTCTGATATCTGTACATAGGATGTTTCATTTAAAGGACTACAGAAGAACTTGTTTTTCCAACACTATATATAACCTCCTCTCACACATAGCTTTTCCGATCAGTGCTGCCCTCTGTATGCAAAAGTTTTTGCTCCCCATTAGCCTTTAGGCTCCAACCTACACCCACTTTTTTACATGTGATATTGTTGCATGCAAATGAGTACATGACAACTCTCCACCAATAGGAGCTAGATACACACTCCTAGTGCAGCTGACTCCCTCTATACTGATTGTTCAATCATTACTTCTCAATTTGGCACTCATGTGTAAAGTCATGTTTCATTTTCACTTGTAAGCTTTTGTGATATTGGTGTTTGTTGTGGAAGAATCTATAAAAACACCAGCTGTGGAAATATTAAAATGGAATTTTCGTTTTTAAACATTCCTTCACCTGAAGATTTTGTGACATTTTATTGCCACATTATGAAGTCACAAGTGACTGTAACTTTCACTTCATCTGGGGTGGAACAACAAGACATAATTCACGCTAGACAAACAACTAAAATGGCATTGGGTTCCTCTTTGTCAATTGAAGTGATGGCTATTATGTGACAGGAATTGCAGTCTTTCATTTGGGCTGGACCTTCTTCTGAACCTGATATACTTTTACCTATTTGTGATGAAAGGGATTTTGACAGTCATTTTTCCCTCTACCTACTTTTGCTAAATGTTCTACCACTTCTCTCGTGAATCTACCAAGACCATTTTTCGTAATTTCTGAACATGGTTTCTCGGACATATTACCTTCTCTCTCTCTCTCCTGTCTCGTATGATTCTGCTCCTTCACTTCTTAATTTGTTCCCTGCTTTTTACTTGTATGTTTTCCCCCTCTCCACATTTTAAGTCCATATTGAGCAAATTTTATCTCAGTTTCTCTGTGGTGGAGGCATGCCTTGTCTTCCTTGCTTGGTTGCCACATATGGCTTGGCTTAACATTGGGTTGTATTTCCTTTCTTGGACTCATAAACATTGGAGTACCTTCTTCAGACTTTGGAGTCAAATTCTCTAACTTCTGTTTGATTTTCTCAGGTCTAAATTTCATGCCTGTGTCTTACCCTCACTATCCTGTTGTGTTATTTTCCCTGCGTTTCCTTTCTTTTGTAGCATTCCCTGTGCCCATGTGGTATTTTGAGTGGATACTCATTCCCCTATGTTTTCTAAATTGGTATGTTCTTCTTCCTTGGCCTTGTGCCTTCTGTCTTGACTGCTTTATTGCTGAAATTGTTTGCGAGAGATGCTCTTCTTTTGCAGGTACATTTGCCTCTCTCTTCTGTCAGCGACCTTTGTCTGGTTCCTTTCTTCTGTCAAGGTCTTTTTGGCGAAGAATCTTATTCTCTGCAGTCATTAACATTCTTTCTTTTCTCCCATCTCTCCAAAGCTTCTTTTCTCATTATTGTCTTCTCTCCTTCTACATTTTCTTTTTTCTCTTATTGGAGGTTGTCTATCATAGCTAAGCAAGATTTTTCTCATGAACTGGTCCCTCAGTCATTTGTTTTTTAAGCCTTAGCCATTTACTATAGTACCTATAATCCCCTCTTTTGGTTTTTGTTTTGTACCTATAAACTCTGTCAGTGGATGCATTTAGTCAGGACTGGTCCACTCTCTTACTTTAAGTTTGCCCCTATTCGTCTTCTCTCTTTCATTTGGAACATTCCTTGTCAAGTCCTTCTGGTGGTGCCATACTGGCCAACTCCATCATGGTTTCCTCTACGAACCTTCTGTTGTCCTTCATCTTCTTTTCTCCTGCTCTCATCTTCTTCAGCTGTGTACTTTGCTCTTTCATCTAGCCATATCATTGCTCTTACTTGCCAGGTGGGATTTGTCTGGTCCTTTGCACGATGTTCACAACTCTTTTCATGAGTAGCTTCCCTCCTTTCCCATTTTGTTTGTCCATCCACCATAATGGTTTATCAGCAGTAGTCTAGACAAGGCCTGATCGAGATTGTACCCACTCATGGACTATCATGAGCAAAGCAGACATGGGATCCCTGCCCATCCTCCGTGCCTAGTTTAGAACCTAGAGCTAGCCTGCCTTTAAAAAAAAGTTTTTTATGGTTACCTGTTGCAGTGTCTTACTGTGATGTGCTCCTCTGGGTTCTCCAACAGGCTTTCAACCCCCTATTTTTCTTTTAGTGGAGTATGGGAGTCCTTGCTACATATCAGTTCCTAGCTGCTGGGGTAGTGAACCATGGATTCTGCCTTCTGAGTGTGAGTGATCATTTCCACTCAGCAGGGAGTAGGGCAGTGGTGTTTTGTGTGTGAAGTACAATTCACCCTTTTCTGGCTGGCTTTTCCCCATCCTATTGCTGCCCTCATGTTGGGTTCCTTGGTGGTCTGGTGTTGGATTGATGCAGGACCAGCAAACTTCACTCATTTGTAGTTCAGCTATATATATCACTGAGTTTGAGGTGAAGATGGTAGAAACCATTCTCATTGTGGCCCAGTTGACACATTTCTGATGTCACTTGGTTTTGGACTGGAGTTGATCCACCATGTAAAATCTATATACATATAGCACTTTCAGGAGACTGATGCATGTTCTGGACTGTGTTTTTTCACCCATTCTAGTGATGCTTCTGTACAGGTGAAGAATGTACTCTGGTACAGACGAGGTGTTCCATGATATAGGTTGTGTCACTCCATGGGTTCCCTTCAGATGCTGCCCAAAGGGAGCTTATCTAAGTCAATTTTGCACCAGTCCATCCACCGCTTTAATGTGGGATTCTAGCTATATATGAGTGGAGTTTACACATCATATCAGAAGTTAACATTTTCCAACACTGAAAATGTATTTCTGATAGCTACTTACCTCTTTACACACTTCCCACCTTTTCTTCTCACTCATAGTGCATCTTTTCTTGCCTTATCTTAAAATTATGATTGAACAATCAGTATAGAGGGAGTCAATTGTGCTAGGATAGTGCATTGCGCTCCTATTGGTGGAGATTTGTCACATGTTCACTTGCTTGCAAAAATGCAGTAATATCACATGGAAACACTTGAGTTTAGGTGGGAGCCTCAAAGCTAGTAGTGAGCGGAAAGGTTATATGTGAGGAGAGAGGTAATTATGTAATGGAAAAAACATTTCAGTGTTGAAAAATGTTAAAATTTGTGTTTGTGATTGGACTTTGCTCAGAACTTGTAAACTAATTGAAAGAAAATGGGTATAAGAGTTCATTTTGTGATTTTTAAGAGTTACTGACTGTACAACTGTATGAAAGGGAATGGGAGCAAACCATTTTGTATATCTAAACAAAAATGTTTAAATTACTTTAAGAAACATTTCTTTTTTCGAAAATAATGAAAGCAATTTGTTTAGTTTCAAATAAATATAGTGAAACCTGTGAATACACCATCTTTAACTTTGAACTAGAAAGTTGGCAATGGTCGACTGAAGTTTACTGATTACAAGAATTTGATGTGCAGTCTTAAATATTGGCAGGTAAGAAAGCTTGAATTTTTAATAAAATTATATTGTACATCTTCAGAGTTTCCCATAACAACATCACAGTGGTTGAAAGATGACTATGCTTTCCATTAAATTAATGTTACTTATTCAAATTTGCATATGGATTTAAGAAATCATGCCTAAATAGTAGTTTCCAGCTTCATTTTTCACTCACTATTTCTAAGACAGTATTTTAGTTTAGTGAAACACACTCATGTTTATTATTTATTTGACTAAGAACAACCAATCATAGTAATGTCTCTGGAGATGCATCAGTCTAGAACTCCAAAGCAAATAAAATTTTTCTAAAGCCCATTTGCATAGTTTTCACTTTTTGAGAAATCCTAAACTTCATGAGTTGGTGTATCTTTCCAAACTATATTACTTTAATTTTATAATTTTAGCCCTGTTACTGTTTGATCTAGTAGTGTTATTATTGCAATGAATGTAATTTTTTCTTTGTCACTTTGTTTGACCATATACTATATTAATATTTGTGTTAATTGTACTAATTAATTTGATATGGGTGAGAAATTATCGTGGGCAAAATAAGCTCCCTAAAGAAGGTCGAAAGTTTCTTTAAGAAAGAAAAGAGAAACATAGTGAAAATTGTATTTGAATTTAATGCTTACTTTTGTTCAAATTATACTCATAGTAAAAAAAAAGTGACTAATTATTACAAATTATTCTCTTTAATGATATAACGTTCATATATCTATTTTTAATTAAACAAAATGGTGCTTCTGTGAAGATACTGACAAACATTTCACCTACAATTATTAAAAAAAAAGCACTATTATCTTTAAAAAACCTCACATATAGATATATAACAAGAGTAGTTTTGGGCTTGCACCCACAGCAGCTGCTGTTAAATGAAGTCTAATTTCACTAATTATTAACTTGGGTACTTTTGATAGGTCTTCCTTAGTCAGGGTGAATTGATTATCGAATTAAATAGCATAATTTAAAGTATTACATACAATGCATTTACTGGTTTTGCAGACAACTTTTAAAAACTACACAAAAGGAACAGCTGGAATACTTCGAGCAGAAAGACTGAAAGAAGCTCTTTTAGATATAGGTAAAACTTTTATATTTTCTTTGCTAAAACATGACTTTCTGTAGTAACCCAGATGTAAATCTTGGTTATATTTTGAAATAAAGCGTTTTTCTTGTGAGATCTCTGCAGAAAAATAGTTTCCAAAAAGATTAAGGTGTTTTATGAGAGATTATTTTCAGTACTAGAAATTGTTATGGGAGCAGTAAATAAAATGGGTGTAAAATGCAAATATTATGAGATTGCTTCCCCCCCCCCCAACTCTATTAAAATGAACTGTACCAGATACAGTCATGTGTTGATAGTTTATACTGTGATTGGCTGTCATCCACCTAATCAGACAGTGGGAAAATTTCATGTTTCACCAGAAGATTAAAGAAAGTGCATAAGACTGGTATTGTTGGTAATAAAAGTAGTCAAACCAGACAATTCAAACTCTTTAAAAATGATATTAAGTAACTCAGGTTATGCTTTTTTCATTCATATATGACAATTGAGTAGAGATCTATCCATGCCCTAGCTATATGTATAGGTATGAATGTTACCTCCAGAACAATAACATACAGAGGTTTGAGCATAATTTTGAATATGCAAATCAGCAAGTGACAACCATAGTTGAAATAAAGATGTCATGGAATGGCATGTATAAGAATTAATTTTGGAGAATTTCATTTCACAAAAAGTGGTAATGCCTTCAAATATTTATTGATTTTGGAAAGGTTATGTAACAGCCCTTTCTAATGCAAAATATCCATACTCTCAGATCAAAAATAAGTCCTCGGTGGCATTGGATAACAATACGGATAGGGTTAAAATAGTACTGCATAATAACTGTTATGTTTCAAGAGTGTAATATAACTGGTTTTAGATAACAAGTTGTCTGTAATTAACATTTGTTTTTAAATTGATTTTAAACTATCATAATTTTGCATATTAAAAACTACTCTTTGTATTCAAGATTAGAAACTGTAAACTTAAACCTCTATGAAGCTTTAAGAGTTTTACACTATTTATTGTTTGTTTATTTGGATAGGGTTCCAGTTAAATACGGAGTCTCTTTCACTCCTTGTTCTACGTTATATGAGAAAGGATGGAACATTGCGGTTTGGAGACTTTGTGTGTTGTATCTTGCAGTTATCTATGGCTTTTGGTAATTTATTCGTTATAGTTTAAAATCTGGTGTAATAGTTTACTTTGAAAAAGTAATAATGAAAATTTTTCCTTTACTACTTTTGAGTTCTTCATGTACTTTTAGTGTAGGTAGATTAAAACTATTTTTTTTTTCAAATTTGTAGTCCAAACCAATAGGGAGAGAGAGAGAGTTTTCATTAATAGTGTACTGTATATAAATCAATCACAAGTATTGTTATAATGTGTTTTATTTGTAGTTATGATTGTTTTTCCAAGTAAGTTTTTTTTTTCTTGTACAGTAATGGCATTTTTTGGTTAGAACAAAATTACTATATTTTCATTTTATTAATGGCTATTAGGGAGAAATTCATAAATGTTAACACTTACATGTTAAGTGCTTCAATAATTTTTGTTTCTGAATTTTTCAGCAACATTTGAAAGAAAGGATCCTTTGCAGAATGGTTACATCAAACTTAATCTATCTGAGGTATGTTCAATATGTTATTTTTAGTTGTTGAAAATTGTGTTGAAAGTTAACATCATACACTTAAATGAGATAGATGGAACAATGTGTGATAGGAACATTTCTCTTGTAGACACGTCAACATACACAACGATGTTAAATAACCACATACAGATTGCATATTCTTTAGTGATGAGCTACATCATGATTATAAAGAAAATATCATATATAAAATGATCAAAATACAAAGAATACAAAATATACCATAGATATGTTGAGAGTCATAAGTTTTATTCATGAAAGCTTGAACATAGTAAAGGGTGTTTCAAAAACTGCTATAAAAGGTGTTCAATATTTTTTACTTCTTTCTCAATCAGCATGCCATGTCTAACCATAAATGGAGCTACTACTGCTAGGTTTAACTGTCCTGGGCATTATTTCATGATTCTCATAATATCCTGTACACTAATAGATAGCTTATTCAAATTTCCTATTGTTGAAAGAGGGAAAAAGAAAAATAGTAAAAGCAGTACTTGTTCGTATATGCAGTATGATATGTTTTTTTTAGACACCATTTACCATATCCCAACTTTTCTGATCAAAGCTTATGATTCTTAATATGGCTCTGGTTAAAATTTGATCACTTAGAACAAGTAGGTTTAAGAAATAATCATTTCAGATATGATGCTTTCTTTATAACTGCCTTGTATTAGCAGGCCTGAAAATAGGCCTACTTTGCATTCTCTAATTTAATGGTACATCTCTATAACTGTTCCTTGCACTGAAAAGTTTGTTTCCTGATGGTTTTATTTTTCATTAATGCTTAACTTCTTCATCATACCACGTAATTGTATTCGTTTTTGATGAGGGAAATAATATGTGTATATATACTGAACCGCAAAAGAAACGTCGCAGTAATTAGAGGAAAAAATGATACAAGAATGAATGCCATATTTTTA